ATTCGCATTATAGGTAATAAACTTAAATTCCCTATCACCCATATAAAAATTATCGGAACGCAAGAAGTAATATATATATTTTTAAGTGTGCTCGGTGGCGATTTGTGGTCATTTTCATAATTTTCTCTTCACGAAATAGTAATTATTCAATCGGATTATACGATTTACCTTCAAAAAATACCCAAACTGCTGTTTGTCTTCATAACTTTTGAAGAATTTATCGTCCATTTTTCTAGCATTCCATGATCATATCATAACAACGAGACAAAGTAGGCAGTATACCACTACAAGCAAATTAAGTTCCAAATCGCGCCTGCCGACTTCTAGTAAACGGATAATCGTCTTGAAGGAACTCAAGAAAACGTAACGAATAGAAACTCATTTCCTTTTTTTTAATTGGTAAATTAAAACCTTAAATGGAACAAAATTTTATTCTGCCCGAATGGAACACCGCTGAAAGTTCTAGATCACAAATTTTAATGCTTTACTTTAGCTTCTGCTCGCCGTAGATTGGACTTTACGACCCACTTTGAAGACAGATGTTCTGAACTTTGATACAATATCTTATCAGCTCTTACTACCGCTGGTTTATTACTATTATTTCCCAAACTGTACATTTCATATGTAAAAGTAATAAAATAAGGAATAAGTACATGAAAATTGTTTGATCCATCGTAAGTAATCCAAAAATTTATAAATAATATTGAAATTAAATAATTAAAAATAAAAACCTAGAAACAGATCGTTCTTCACATTAAAATCAACAAATAATAGTATTAGGTCAATGTTGAGGTATTTAAAATACATCATGTATACATAACATTTATAACTAGCTTTTCCCGCGACTTCGTCCGCATGTTGGTTGAGATCAGACATCGGAGTGGATATATTGAATCAAGATTTTAGGTGTAAAAAAAAAAGATACAAACTAACTGGCTTACTGATTTACTGACTGATCGAACAACGTACGTTATTAAAAATGCATTGTAAGGTTATTTATTTATTCTTACGTACACAATATAAACATTTATTTAAAACATACATTTTTTTTTTTCATAATAGAGTTCTCTTCAAGCAAAACTAAGAGTGAAGAAAGGATATCACAATGAGAGAGAGTTTTGTCTACAGAGTAAATTTAAGAAAATATACAAACTATAAATATAAACGAAATAAGCGAATATCATGTAAATAAACTACTACTCGTATATAACACAAGTTTATCATCATCATCATCACCATTATCAGCCTATCGCAGTCCACTGCTGGACATATAAACGAAATAACCGAATATTATGTAAATAAACTATAATATAGCAAAAGTTTATCATCATCATCATCAGGAATAATCAGCCTATCGCAGTCAACTGCTCAAAATAGGCCTCCCCCACTTAGATAAGTTTATAGTCCAGTGAAATCCAGTGAGACCAATACTGTAAGGAGTTTGTTCTCCGTAGCTAATCTAACGTCATCTGTGATTTGGACCAAAGCTGTTAAAGTGCTGTGACCTGAATCAAATCCAGATTGGTTTGGCCTTAGCAGACCATTAGAGGCAAGGTAACTAATCATTTATCTCCGGACGGTACTCTCAAGTACCTTAGAAAGGATCGGGAGTTTCGATATAGGGCGGAATTTGGACACTGAAGAAGATTTGGAAGTTTTAAGTAGAGGTATAACATGGGCTTTTCGTCAGGATGATGTAAACATACTTTCCTGGAGGGAAAAATTGATGATGTGAGTGGCACCTGAAATGAGCTTACCCACAATAGGCTGCAACATTTGTAGTTGAATACCATCATCACCTGTTGCCTGTGTGGAGAGGGATAGGATCTGTTTCTTTGTGTCATTTTCTGTCATCGGGTTGAATGAAAATGAGGTACATTGTGTCAGAGGAAGACTAGAAAGGTGATTAAGAGTAGAAGTTTTATCAGAAGCACCCACTAAGATCAATCGAGCAAATTGAGATCTATGTTAGGTGCCCTGTCGTTGGCGATTGGTTATTATGACAATATTTTTTTATAAAGAACATATTGAACAATTTTTGTTAGTTACATAAATTCCCAAGACTATTTTATAACAACCATGGGGTTTCATCTATATATATATAAGAGATTTCCACGTATATAGTCACTCATCACGATATCTCTGGAACCATTAGAGCTAAAGACTTGAAATTTGGTAGGAATATTCTTTTCACCGAGTAGAGGTCAGCTAAGAACAGATTTTAAGAAATTAAAAAAAAAATAAAGAAAATTTTAATAATGTAAATAGCAAAACAACGTTTGCAGGGTCATCTAGTCATTTATAAAGGTAGATCTAAAAGTAAAAAAAAAAAAAGATTTTTTGATAGAAAATATAATTGTACTAAGAGTTTGAAAACTATAAGTTAACAAAAAATTGTCCCCATACAAACTTTATAAGGGTAGTTTTAAAAAATTAATAAATATTTTTATTTATTGCTTTTAATAAAGTGTAATTACTGTGAGTTTAAAACGTAGTTTCACATAAATTTCCTACCACCATTTGGCACCCTTAGGAGTCGAATTTTTGAAATCCTTTTTTAGTGTACACCTACGTTACCTAACGATTATTTGATCACAATTTCATGCTTCTAGACCAAACGGCTTCAGCTGTGAGTTGATCGATCAGTCAGTTAATCATTCTGTCAGTTTCTTCTTTTATAGATATCGATAAATAAGAACCGCCCTAGGTGGCAATCAACGAATATAATAATAAAAAAGAAAACTAAACAATGGGTACATAAGAGAGATGTACGGTTCTCATCGCAATAGATTTCGTCCCCATAAATATCGACTTCACCTACGAGTATTAAGAGTAAACGACACTTAAATATCGTCCCTAAACACACCGAATGATTTCCTGCAATCGATTCCGACACTATCCGTTAACGTGGCAATCATTCCGTGTCAATATGACACCCGAATGCTATGTTAAAACCGCAGTGATTATAGTAAAAAAGTACTTACAACACATTTTTTTTTTGTTTTAATGTAGCCGACTGTTCAAAAGCAGATGCCCGGCAAGAGCGCTATAAAATACAACAAACATTAAAGAAATGCTTTCTTTGATAGTATTTTTAATTTTCGATTACATTGGAGTTGCTTTCACTTATAATTTGTATTGTTAACATTAAATTGCCAGGTAAAATGCTTTCAGTTGTAAGGGTTCGCCATTGTTATAAATTTTCTTTGTTTACTTACAATAATGTTTTACGGAATTTTAATAAAAGACTTATTGTATAAAGAAGCTCATTTATGAAAATATTTTCAATCAGAACTCGGTTGTAGTCCTCTCAATAGGTGTGTCTAATTCTTTTGTATCTGCTTTTTCCAACTATCAAAAGGTTTTTCATAAAGAAGGTCCAAACAGGATCTGTATGTACTCTTACACTGGATGTCTGAGGTATGTATACTATACATCTTTGACACAGGTCGCTTCACTCGTTAATATCGGGCTCCTTTTGGGTCCAAAACGAATCGTAGCCTAGTATCGTCCACCGTTGTGGTTTCACTAACATTCACTTTTAGCTCAGCGGTACCTACAAACTATGTTAAAAAAGCAGATGAGTCCAGAGAATTCCAACCACTACATTAATAGATTAGAAACTCTTCTGCATTGTTTTAAGAATAGAAACTAATCCGACTCTTCTTTTATAAAGTTTTTAAAATTATTTGATCAGATCCTTGTAAATTTATAAGTTTCTTTATGAATTAACTCACAGAGCCACCAAGATGTGACGCCAGCATAAAGATGTTGTTAATATTTGCCTCAGCAGTTAATTGAAATTAATTTAAGCTGATTGTACCACGCACCATAACCAGACTGGACACATATTGCTCTTGTTACTTGTTTAACTACTAGGGTCTAACGAATTTGCTTTAAAATTATAAAAGTCTGCCACAAATCACTATTTGTTTTTAAATTATTCACTAAGTTTTTAACTACGCAGCAAGTGCACCTAAAACAAACTCAAATCTTAAAATAAGGCAAGGACTTACAAATTAGCAGAATTTGAGTGTTTTTTTTCTCTATAAGTTAAAACCTTATCCTTACCATCTTACTCGTATAATTAGATTTTTGCAAAACTTTTTTGATATAAAGTAAGTCAATTACTTTTTTATTACAGCGGCTAAGACAAGATAACATAATTTAAGACCTGTATCAAAAGGTACGGATGGGTCAAAGAATATTTTTATCCACATTGGGTCTGAAAAATATCTTTTTAAATATAGTTATCAGATTCCGTTTATCCCTTCTCAGATTTTGATCCTAAAATAAAATGGAACGTAGATACAAGAGTTCACTTATTGATATAAAAATATTTATAGAAATATTGCCACTATTGTTTATCAAATCTTGACTCTATTATCCAATTTCATTTATAGATAAATATAACTTTGTCAATCGTCAATAGATTTATTTCAGACAATCTCCGTCTAGTTCTAAATTGAAAATTCATACAGGTTTAATACCGAAGCCGTACCATACTTTATTATTAAGCCAACTTAACCCATCTTGGAAACGATTATAGCTTATAGCGACTGAATATATTTTTATTTAGCCATGAAGCAATAAATGGTGAACAGTATTGATTCTAGATTATGGTATGTCCTACGATATACCCATTTATTTCATGCGGAAATCCCCTTGGATACCATCCACCGGACGACTGGTTTGGTGGTTATGTCGGACACGATCTAACTAAAACCGCACTCCGTCTCTAGCACCAGTAGCCGAGGAACCTGGTGTAACCTAGAAATAAAATCTTTGGTGCCCTGACGACCTATAATATGACATATGATATCACAAATAAATAATATAATAATAATAATATAATAATAATATCGTAATAATAAAGTAATCATGCGCCCTCAATTATAAATCATACACAATCTCATATAAAAATCTGGCAAATAAACGAATAGCCTGTTTGTGACATAATTTATTAAAATACAATTATCATATTTATCTGTAGTCTAAGTTTATGCCATATCTTCAGAGAGATCAGCAATGATGTATGACACTGCCGTCCAAAACGCAGCTCCAAGATCAAGTTCATCGGGATTTTCCACATTCATGGTATCGCCTTCAGTGTGGTGGAACCAAAAGTACTTTTCATTGTCATTGTAAAGGCTCGCACCGGGAATACCATTGCCAGTAAATACAGCAATGTCTGATCCAGCGCCATCCTGTTCTATGAGTGTGGACGCGTTTATGGATTTAAACAATTTCAATACCTCCTGAGCAATGCAACGCGTTCTTGTATTACCACTAACATACAATCCCAACGGAGCAAAAGTTCCCTCATCAGACTCCATGATAAAGTTAATATTATTTAATTCCTCTTTATGCGCTTCTTTATAAGCATAAGCACCAATTAAACCTAATTCTTCAGCTGTCCAGAAGATAGCTCTTAAGGTTCTTTTCGGGGTTAGATTCAAACGCTTTAGAATAACAGGAGCTGCCCAACTAATAAATAGACCACCACCGTCATCCATGGCGCCTTGGCCAACATCCCAACTATCGATATGTCCTGAGACAATAACTAGTTTTTCGGGGTTTTGACTACCTTTTAAATCGACAAGTGTATTCCTGGAAACCTTGGTATCATCATAAGTCGATGACATTTGAAGATTAAGTACAATTTTTTCACCTCTGTCATACAATCTTCTAATTAAATCAGCATCTTCTAGGCTGATCGCTGCAGTAGGGATCTTTATTACACCATCGGCATAGTTTTGAGATCCAGTATGAGGTGAATTAATTGAAAATTGCGTAACTGACCTTACAAGAGATGCTACGGCACCTTTAGCAGATGCTTTCGATGCTCCTTGTGATCTTACTGCCACCGTTTCACCATAAGTTGTAAATATTGGATCGTATAAAACGATTTTACCCTTAATATTTTCGTCCGGTGTATTTTCTAGTTCATCAAAACTTTTCACAACTACAACTTCAGCTGTGATTCCTTCTGGTGGAGTACTAACACTGCGGCCCAGACCCAAAATTACCATGTTTTTAATTCTTGGTTCAACCATTGTCAATTTCTCTTCGCCTCTTTCCCAACGGGGTACCTGTAATTAACTAACAATTTAACTTTGTTTTTAACATAAAAGGTGTAACAGTAAATCTGTTGTATTGCTATTATACCATTTAATATAAATTGTCAAATTAGTCTTGAAAGCTATAATATCGATAATATGTCAGATATTTAAAAATAAAATGAGACGGATACTGACACTTAATTATTACTTTATTTATCTAGTGAATTCTAGCTGCGCTAGCATTAACATCACATATTTAAACTGTGTATTTGATTAAAGTTAAGGGAATAATTAAAGATACCAGCCTCTTAATAAATACACGAATTCAAACTTATAGGTTATAATAATATAATTCATGTTATTGACCTCATAATTAAACACGTTTTAAAGGACGTATCCAACGGTTACATGTTTACTATTTTCTATCATTTAAGTTAATAATTTATTCTATTTTGAATCATATATTTCGTATATAGTGCGGTCTCTGTTAAATAAATAAAATTACTTTTAAAATAAAAAATAATTTTAATAATTTAGTGCTACTAAGTAATAGAATTAAAAGGGTTAACTCTCTTAAAAAGAGTAAAAAACTGAACTAAACTAACAAAAATCTGCTACACCATAAATTAGATATTTATTACCCAACCACTCCACTAGAATATTTGAGTAAACTTATGCATAAGAGTAACGAGTTGTTCTATTTTTCTACAATACAAAAACATGTAATAATTATTGCCTTCACTAATATGATTGTTCGAGCTCTTAAAGTCGATGAAATCAAATAAGAGATTGACTTCCTGTCAACTGAGAAGGGACTCCCACGCCTCTAGCGCTCGACAAATCATAAGGATCCGATCGTATATCAAAAGTACCCATTGTAGAAAATATCTTACGCGTGATATAAGTGGTACTTCCTAAGGGAGCTCTTCCATTAACAAGCTCAAAGAACTTAGAATATAAATTACAGACATATTGATTTATAGAGGAGTAGTGACGAAGATAACATAATAAATCATAGCTTTAAATTAGAACAGCCTACGACTGGTATATTAATTTTTTGTTGCTTTTATCTACTTGGCTTTAAATTTCAGAAAATATAACCGTTATTTAATTGCAATCGATTTGACTATTTGACCTTGCATTAAATAGGTTTGAATCTATTTATTTTTAACATACTTCAAAAATAAGGAAGTTATCAATTGGGATGTTTATATCTTTTTTTATGTATGTTGGGCATATCTCCGTAATTTATAGACGGATTTTGCAAAAATGTTTTTTTGTTCGAAAGGTATTTATGGTCCCATTTAAATTTCATATTGATTTGATGATAAGTTCCGGAAACAGACAACGGAACTCTCAAAAAAAGACAGAAAATGAACCACGATTGCTGCTAGGTGTTTAGTGCTCTTTGTTAATATTGTTTAAAGTCGGTTCAACTTAAAAAAAAGATTTCTTTATAATGTAATATATGTGTTTACGATTTTCACAGTATTAAAGACCATCATTATTTCGGTGGGTGTAAATTATTATTATCTATTACCTATTACTAGCTATTACCTAGATTTAAAAAAAATAACTATTTTATTAATTTGTTATTATGAGCAAAACTATTTACGATAATTATATAAGTATTACAAAAATGTTTACTATATACGAATGTACAAGAAAATCTATCGAACTCTACATGATAAACTTAAATATTAGTATTTAAAAACACATAGTTATATTTAAAAATTATCATTAACAATGTTAAGTTAAATATTTTGAGAAGAGAAAACAAATTATTTAATTTTCATTTATTTCAATTTAAAATACGATCACATTTGCCTGCAGTATGCTGTATATCAATACGATTTAAATATCACAACACTTTTTAATAACACTTACCACAACTTCTTCAGTAGTTATATCTTCTAACCCTTCTTTACGAGACAATTCTATCATGTAATCAATAGAGTCTTCAAGGACCTGCGTTCCTGAAGGACGTGCACCAAATTTATCCACAAATATTGCCAATCTACGAATAAAACAATACACTTGATACTTGATAGCAAACAAACACAGAGACTTAATGACGCAATGTGTAGTTTACTTTAAAAGATATACTCACTCATCGTAGGTTTTTCGTTTGAAATCTCCATTTAAAACATAGTTTAGTATCTTATCCTTCACATCTTCGTATGAACGTATTTCATCAACTAAAGGTCCCAATATTTCTTCGCAAGTGTTTGCATTTTTATTCAAGACTTTCGCCTCACTCGCAACAATAAGAAAAAAGCTTACCGATATGATACTTAAGAAATACATTTTTGTCCCAGTATCTTTAAAGTACTGAGATGTTTTGATAAAACTCTTAGCTATTTTATACCCTACGTATCTTATCGGCTGTGACGGCGAACCGTCTCAAACGTCTGCACAGTTACGCGTATAGTTGATGGACATTTGATACTCAAGGGACTTGGAGTGTATTTTGTGAAGATTACCTTGGCTGTATCTTATCGAATCGTGAGTAACATTTCATATTGGATCTATTCGAAAAATTTAAATTATATCTAAAAACAATTATATTGTTAGATATTATCCATAGTAATACATATTCATACTAATCCAAACTAATATTATAAATGCGAAAGTGTGTTTGTCTGTTTGTATTTCTGTCTCTCTGTTACGTCGTCACGCTTAAACCGCTGAACCGATTTAGATGAAATTTGGTATAGAGATGTCCGAATCATGGGAAAGGTCATGAGGTAGTTTTTATCCCAGAAATCAAAGGGTGGTGGAAATTTGTATGGGGGATCAATAACCGCTGAACCGATTAAAATCAAATTTACTGTGGAGATACTTTAATTCTTGAGAAAAGACATAGGCTACTTCTTACCTCGATAACCGACATTAACGCGGGCGGAGCCGCGGGCAAAAGCTATTAATTTATAATGGCTTAGGAAAGTATTTTATTTAGATGATTTATTTTTAGAATAGTTTTTTTTTAATGGTTAAGGTGATGTTATATTCGTTTTTCTAATTTCGAAAGTATTTAGTCAATATTTTACCCTTAATGACGCTGTTAATTGTACTGTCAACAATTACCTACAGACCCATGGTTTGTATTCGATCATTGACTTAATTGTACATTTATATAATCAATACTCTAGAGTATTGATTGATTTGATTCCATTATATAAATGTATTATTACTCTATCGTCGGTAGCTTTATTTTTTCAGTTACGAGAGTGCATTGAAACATGAACCTGATTTAAGGAAGTTATTGCGTGTTACCCGTGTTGCCACCCAAAGGTATTACGATTATTCCATATCTAGATGTGCAAAAAAATTATTAGGAATAATTAGGAAGGTGAGAAAATAGAGTTAATTACGTAACATTATAACTAGGAAAACAATTAAAATTGCCAATATTAAAGATGAACAAGAATATTTTTTATTGTTATTATGTGTTACCCAGCGCTAATTGTTTGCCTTGCTAAATGTACAATATTATTGATTGTAGAAGTACAATAGAGAAAATACTTTTTTTTACTAAAATTATCGAGCATTAAAGAGGCTAACTGGACAGTTAACAAAAGTTAGAAGCCCCTGTACTCCACACATATTAATTATCACAATCATCACATGAACAGCCTTTAATAGTCCACTGCTGGACATAGGCCTCACCTTAGAAAGGAGACTTTGGACTACTATACCACGCTGGCATGACGGGTTGGTATTTTCCCCTCCACCCGCATTAGTTTGGCCAGCCGCGAGGGGGCGGCGTCCGCGTGTGCCGTACGTCGCCTAAAGAGGGAAAAAAAAACAAAAAAATTGAGACGGAGCCCGCAACAGGAGCGGGCCGGCGCTAGGAGGGGTCCGGATGTCTTAATAACAGCTGTTCCCGGATCCCTCCTATTACAGGCGCAGAGTGGCACACCGTGTGGTTTTATTCGGTCCGGGTCCGACACACCACCCCGCCGCAAACCCCGGTGGGGTGACGGTCCGAGGGGATTTACACACGTTAAAAAAAAAAAGGGTTTATATCAACTTTGCCTCCTCTCTGTACAGCACAACAGAGAACAGCATGCTCTCTGTTGTGCTGTGTTGCTCCCCCAGCGACACTCACGGGATGAATAGGGGTGGTGACACTCTGTATTCTTAATCCGTCACCACATGGAATATTAATATAATGATTTTGATAAAATAAACAAAATATATATAATGAGTCTAAATATAAGACCATTTTTTACCAATGAAAGTTTTCTAACTACATATATATCTTTATTTGTTTACAATTATCTATTTATAAAGACTAGTGTGCATAAATCAGTTATCAATCTAAAATGGTCATTTAAATTCCACTTCCACTGCTATTTACCCTAAGTTTACATTTTATGTTTACTAAACATACAATAACATTTAGCAGGTTACCATGTTTTTAATTATTTTAGGTATTAAATTTCAATTATAGATTAGTCAGTTTACATAACATCAAGATGTTATCATGTCATTGGTGGGCTGTCATAACAAAAACATGTATGATTGCGTTCCATTTCACTGTTCTTCTCCGGGTTGTGTCTAGTAAATTATGATTTGAGTACTAGACTTTTTAGCCACTAAAATAAACAATCAAATAAATAATATAAGAATAAGTGATATTTATTTTATTTACGTCTTTATTGTATACAGGTAACACATTTATAGAGATTAGTTCCAAATATAGTGTTATAGTGATATTATGTTCTGTAACCAACATTTTCTTTTTACTTTCAATTGAACGCAGTCTCAAATATATTTCATTAATATAACTGTTTATGCATACTGTTTAATACTGATATTTTGTATTCTTTTGTTTGATTTCGTAATAGGTTATAGTAACACTGAAGCAATTTTTTCGGTATTTGGTAGTGATGCCCGTTTTATAAGTATTCCTTCTCTAGCGGATACAATCTTAGCTCAGTTTTCTGATGTATCCAAGAACTTTAATGTCATTTACATAAATGTCCAAAGCATTCCGGCACACCTCAATGATATGCTAACTAGCTTAGACTGTTCGAACGTCATCCTCACATAGGAATCTTGGCTAAAACCATGTCTATCTTCCACAACGTACTTGTTGCTCGGCTTGCAGTTATTACGAGTAGTACTGTCAAATATATCTGTGCTTACTTTCCTTTCTCCGTTGTTACTATGTCATCTCAGTCACTCCTACAAATGATGGCGAGCATGTTTTCATAGAAGGCATAAAGTATTTCTGAGTGTTGAGACACTCAAAAGTGCTTTTCAGCCTTTTCGGTGTCTATTATAGTCTCCTTGCGAGTAGATTATTACTCCTCACCTAAAATATTATTAGAAAATTTAACACCTTTGCATAGTCATACCATAGTCATGCGTGAGTTTAACACCTGTTTACTTAATAACGATTTTCGCTCTTCGTTCCTTCCATTCGTTTTTGGAATCTAACAATCTTTCCATTCTTCCACTCATTCCCACACATGATATGCCAAACTCTTCTCTCCTCGATTTCATCATTGTCTCTGCAGCAGAGCACGTGACTAAACATGGTCAGTGTTCTGCATAAACGTCACCCTAATAATTCAAATTGAGATTTTTTATTTTATTTTTTATGGCAAGGGGAGCAACCGAGCAAACGATTCACCTGATGGTAAGTGACTACCGCGATCCATAGACACCCGCAACTTAACAGTCATGAGTGCGTTGTTACTCTTTGAGATCGGCCCCAAAATCAGGTAGGAGGGTTTGGGCTCCGGTAACCTCATTCACTTGGTGGAAAGCAACAACAGTACTTCTTAACACCGGTTTTCTGTGGTATTACCCTGGTCGAGCCTGCCTATTTGTGCCCACGAATGGCTCTCCCACGGATTTAGGGTATATCTTCCTCCCTGTGTTGAACCACTATATTATAGATTCACTTATTTTTAACCGACTTCAAAAATTAAACTGTTATCAATTTGAATGTTTATGTAGTTGTTTTATGTATGTTCGGGCGGAACTCCATCATACATAGACGGATTTTCCAAATTCTTTTTTTTTCGAAAGGGGTTTAGCTGAAATGGTCCCATTTAAATTTTATGTGATGATAAGTTTCAGAGACAGACAACGGAACTCTTCAAAAAATAACTGCAAATCAACCACGATGGCTGCTAGGTTTTTAGTGCTTTTTGTTAGTATTGTTTGAAGTCGGTTCAAGTTTTTAACAAGGATTGTATTGTTTATATAAAATAGATACAATATTTCACAATTGAAGATCTCTGAAAATGATCTGCAGCTAAATTAAATGAAGAAACCTTAGAAATTAATATTGTACCAACTTTCTTATTGTAGGGCTTTCCTTTCAATGGCTATTGATTGTATAGTCTATTATTCTCTTGAGGACAGATTCATGGCCTGGGATTTTACTAGACAGACAACGAACACCACACGAGGTTAGTTCTAAATATATGTTCACTACTTAAAAATGTTTCACACATTGTTAAACAAACTATATAATATACATATACAATTTCAACAAGCTACATACAACTTCAACAATCTATATATTCAGGAAATTTCAATGAACAAAATAAATAATAGATTTGATTTTTTTGAAATATGAAGATTAAAAACATTTCAATAAAATTGGGCCCAAGCTATGTAAGCGGTATGCGGTCAAATTTTCAAAATTTTGTGTGTGATGATGAAATTTGTGACTGATGATGAAATAAATGAGATGAACGCAAAGAAAGTGTAGTGGTCACAGATTATATTATCTTCTTCAAGAGTTTACATTATGTTCAGAGATTCAAATAAACCATGCAATATGTGTTACATAATCAGCAACTTAAACACATATTTGTGTTAGGGGTTAACTAACGTCGGTAATGTTCAAAGTTAGGCTCGAACTGTGTTATATTGCTGTATGAGCAATATAACACAAACAATAAACTAAATATTGATATATGTTACGTATTTTTATGATTTTAAAACAACTCCCTCATTAGTAATATATCCTTTGTCGCGGGGGACTTTACAAACATACATGAAACGGACACTAAAAACACCCAGACTCAGAACAACAATTTGTGGATCACACAAAGTGTCGTCCCATGTGGGAACTCAACTTAGTAGTAAGTGGCGTGACGACAGCTTAAACCACTATGCCATCCGTGCATTTTGTTTGTAATTTGAATTCCTAAACGAAAAATCCACATTTTAAACTTAAAATTTATCCAATTCACTATTTTGTGTTGTGAAAACATGAATATGGAATGTTAGTTAAATTATTCAATGTACAATATTCTTCTATTAATTTCGTTTTAAAT